GCTCAGAAGGCCCGAAGCCCCAGCCCCAGGAGAGGCCCCCCATTCTTCCCTCCCCCTCCCCCTCCCTCCCTCCCTGAGTCTGTCCTGCCTCTTCTGTGGGCAACTCAGTTAGAGACACTGAGATGCAGGAAAGCCCCCAGCAGGAACCACAGGGAGGAGTGGTCACAGGGCAGAGTTTTCCTGAGCACTTGGTGCCACCATGTGGGCAGGGTGTCACATCCCCAGAACCTGGCTATGGGGGGGCTCCCTCCGAGGGGAACCCAGGGATGAGGGCAGTGGCCTGGCAAGAAGGTTAGACTCCAGGCCCCTTGCACTGGGGGGGAGGTCTGTAGGCTCTGCGCTCCTCCCAGGCCTTCAGGAGCAGGGTAGGAGCCCACACGGTCACCACAAAGCTGGAACAGGGATCTAAGCAGTCCTGTGTGGTATGCACCCCAGAACATACCTCCCAAAGGTCAGGGTGCTCCTGAAATGAGGCTCCCCTCCCAGCCCAGGGGCCCCCTGCCCTGTCAGAATAGTGAGGGTGGGTGCATCCTTCCCACCCAGGGTCAGCAGCTGCTGGCCACCTGCCCAGACCAGAGGTTGGCAGGGCCAAGGTGCAGGCCCAGGCTCGGGGCGTTTGCCCACTCAGCCCAGGCTTGGTGGAGCAGCTCCCTGGCCAGCCTACTGCAGCCCCCACAGGCTGACCTAGGGCCACCTAGTACAAGGATCTCCTGGGCCATCACTGGACCAGGGTGCAGAAGCTACCGTCAGGCAGGGGGCTAGGGCCCTCAGGAAGCAGTCTCCCACCCACAGAAATAGGGTGGAAAACCCCAGCCCCTGGGCTCTGAGGAACGGCACCAGGCATGGGGGGACTCTGTGGGGGTGGGGGAGCCCCAAGAGTAGGCAGGAGCAGCACCAGCCGGGCCCCTGGAGGGCCTAGGGCGCTGTGACTCTCCCTCCCAAGGCCTTGTGGTGGCTGTCCTGCTACCAGGGCTCTAGGGGACCTGCCTACCTCCCGAGCTCCTGAGGGCTCAGGTCCCTGGGCTTGTGGCTGCACCACCTCCATCTCTGCCCCCAGCTCCATCTCTCTTCCCTCTGCCTCCCGCGAGGAGGATGCAGGTCATTGGATTTAGGGCCCACATGGTGGATCCAGGACAACGTCATCTGAGGTCTCACGTGATCACATCTCTGCAGATCTTTCTTTCCCAGTGAGATCACATTTGCAGGCCCCTGGGCTTAGGACATGGTCCTGTCTCTGGGGACAGCCCCTTCAAGGGACTCCTGGGACCCTCACAGGGCCCACATAGCTGGAGGCTCAGTTTGGAAGCCGGGGTCACACTGTCCCAGGAGCCTCAGCTGGGAGCACTTCACAAACTGGCACCCAGGGCCGCTCTGAGCTAGGCATGGGGTCAGCTCCTAGGACACTGGGCTTGGGCTAAGGGGCCCCTGAGAAGGCTCAGAGATGATCCTGGGAGGGATGGGGAGGAAGGGGAAATGGGACACAGTGCCCCAGGTTACCCCCAGGGGGTGTCTGCATACAGTACCCCTTCCCAACCCCAGCTCCCCAGCCTCCTGCCACCCAGCGTGACCCCCCATCCCCACTTGACTCCCGTCAGGTCCTGGGCTGGCTGCTGCCCATCCGCTAAAGCCCTTGTTTACCTCTGGGCCCGGCAGGATCACAGCTGCCAGGTAATGGTTGCTGGGACACAGTTGCCAGGTCACCACTGTTGTCTCCCAGCAGAGGGCTCCCAGACATGTTGGGCAGGTAAGAGAGACAGGAGGGCCACCAGCCCGGGTCCTGGCTGGGCTGAGGCTGGGCCTTGCCCTCTTGTGCTTCTCTCCAGCCCCTGCCCAGAAGCAGAGGAAGGAGGAAGGGACCAGAGAGAGACTGGGGTGGACGAGCCTTTGGCCCAGGACCAGGTCTGTCTCCCAGAACTCATCCCCGGACCGGCAGTCTCCTGAGATCCCCGGGGACTGACTCCGTCCCCAGAGTGCCGCTGGCCGGGGTGCCAAGCCCCGAGCCACCTCAGCACTTCCTGAGCCCGGTGTGGCCGACTGTGAGCTGCTGGGTGCCCCTCACCCTGGACTCTAAGCTGCAGTCGTCTTCCTCAGGGTTAGAAGCCTCCTCCCCATCAGACCAGGGTGCGGTGTCCTGCCTTTTTATCCAACCAGGTAAAAAGTTGACCTTAAATCTCTCACAGCGCTGTGAGCCTTCTGCCTGGTCCCTTGCCCTGGGTTTTCGCTCAGTCTTTGCCTTCTGCCTGGTCCCTTGCCCTGGGTTTTCGCTCGGTCTTTGCCAAACGTCCTGCTCAGGACCACGCCTGCTCGGAGGACCACTTGCTCCCCCGTCCGCCCCTCATGGTGTCAGCCTCCTTTCTGGACTTGGGCTGCACCCTTCAGAGACCCTGAGCTGYAGTCCCCAGAGGAGGGCAGGCACTCCCCTGAGCTGTTCCCACTGCCAATGCCCCTGCCCAGTTCCTTTTAAAGGTCCCCCGTCAATGTGAATGACAAGAGTGACGGCGATTCACCGTTTATCAACCACGGGTGGAAATCATAAGTGCCTGGTGTTAGAAAAGCTGGGTGGCATGTAAGGCTTCTGGAAAACAGACCCCACACCGGCGTGCTCAGCCCCTCTGCTGTTCCTTGGGCTGTGGAGAGGTGTCCAGGGGCAGAGAGCAGGGCTTCTGGGCCACTCTCCTGACCACCTCGTGCTGCTGCTCCCGAGTGACCGTGGCCCTCACTGTCACCCCCGATGCAGACTTCTGGCCACCGGGCCAGGCAGCTGGCCCTGGTGTCCTCTCCCTCAAGTCTCCTGAGTTGTCCCCACACCCTGGCTTTCCTGGAACTGTCCAGTGGGCACCCCAGCCCTACTGGTACCCGCTGGGCCACAGGCACCATCCCAACATGCTCCTGGGTGTCCATGAGTCCAGCCATCTCTCAGTCAAAGAGCAGGCACAGAGCGATTGGGCAGCCGTGGGTCCACTTCTCCTGGGCCCCTCACTCCTGGGATTCACTGGCCAGATGGGGAGTTCCTCCCAGCGGGCCGGAGGGCTCTGGTGGCCCTGCCGCTGCTCCCTGAAGGTGCAGCCATCTCCACTCCCCCGTCTTCTCTCTCGACATCCCTGTGGCTCCGAGGCCGGTCCTGGAGGTCTGTTGGGGGTCTGTTCCTTCAGGCCCTGTCCTGGGTTCTCCTGCCCACGGGATTCCTCCCCTCTGGGTTCTGACCACGGCACTGAAGGCTGCGCTCTCACAGGGTCCGTCGGGTGAACCGGCTGCTGAGGGCTGCACACCATCCCCTTTCCTCTGCTCACACCTGGGAAGCCACCCTCAGCCTCCTGGGGTCCCATGCCCACAGCAGGGTCCTGGGAACCACATGGAAAGGGTGGGGGTCTCCTGGCCCCATTCTCTGCAGGCTGGCAGCCCCAGCCTCTCCCCAGGAGTCTTCCTGTTCTGTGTGGGGTCTCGGGGTGCTCCCAGCCCAGCCTCCCACTGGGTGCCGACCAGCCTGGCTCCCTGGGCCTCCCTCCTCCTCACGGTCACTTTGTGTGGGCAGACACAAGCCTGCTCCGCTGAGCGTCTCGCTGACCTGCCCCACCTGGGAGCCTAGACTCCTGCCCCAGTCTTGGGTCCCATGCTGTCCCTCTGTCCTGCCACCTGCTGTAGCCTAGGGCTGGCATTCTGTTGAGCTTCAGAAAGCCCTCRCCGCCCAAACTGGGTTTGCTTTGTCTTCTCAAGGCTGAGGCAGAAGAACTGTCAAGGAAATGACGAGAACTTCCCTGACAGGTTCCCAAATGGGCCACATGTGCAAATGGGGCAGCATCCAGGGCTCTGGGGCAGGCAGGGCAGTGGCCTGCAGGCAGAGGGGCCATGAAGGGCAGCAGTGTGAGCTGGGAGGCCCCCTCTGGACCTCTGTTCCTCCAGATGGACACACCCCCCCGGCAGGCCTGACGGCCACTGTCTTTACAGCCAGCACCGGGGCTGTGTGCAGAGGGGCCAGGACAGTCCCTGCAGCAGAGGACTCGCCCAGCAGAGACAGAGATGGCCTCCGCCGCCCTGGCCACCAGGCCCCTCAGCCACCATGGAGACGGGAGCCAGCCACCAGCAGATGCCACAGTGCGGGACTCAGGGAGGCGCCCTTCCCCGGGCAGGGGGGGCCCGGCCGCCTGCCCCACCCCAGGGCTGAGGCCTCGGGCTGCCCAAAGACCCCGACGGGAGGCGGGGGCCGCCTCTTCCCCACGGGGCACTCACTCCCGTGTCCCCATGCCCGCGCCCCACAGCCGCACCCGCTTCATCCACCGCCGCCGGGGTCAGCCTGCCCGGACCCACATCTGCTCCAAGAGACCCAAGCGGCCCAGGATCCGGCGGTGCCGGGCCCGGGCGCCGAGTGAGTGCGGAGCCCTGCCTGGGGCTGGCTCCCCCCCCACGCGGCTCCTTCCTGGGACAGCACCCCACCCTCGGGGGCAGATCTCAGGGGAGGGGACAAAATGCAGGGATCGCGGCTCACGGGCAGAGAGGGAGCACTGCTCTCCACCGCCTGAGCGCTCTGCCGGCCCTCGTGCCACCCCTGCAGGCAGACACAGTGGGCACTGCCCCCTCACCCTGCCCTGGCAGCTCCCATCTCCCCCAACTGACCATGGCTTCCTGGGTCACCCATGATGTCATCATGGACATTGTGACCCCTGCCCTCTGGGTACCTCCCGGCACCATGTCTGCTCCAGGCTGCAGCCTCAAACCCCAGCCCCTTCCCTGCACAGAGCTCCTGCCCGGTTGGTAAGGAGGGTGGGCATCAGGCTCCCCGCTGGCCCTGCCCCGACCCAAGCCTGGCCCCAGAGGGTGGTGACTCTTCCCTCTGGCACATACTGGCCCCCAGGCTCCTGGTCAGGTCTCRGCTGGGCTGAGGTGGGGCCCAGAGAGGCTGGAGTGCACACCCAGGAGCCCCTGAAATGGGCTGGGATTGGAAAGGCAGAGTGGGGACCCCCTCAACAGCACTGACCCACCCATCCCCAGGCTGGGCCCATGAGAGACAGATGGGGAGCAGTGGCAAGGAGGGTCTCCTGCCTCAGCTGAGCCAGCAGGACCAAGATGCAGGTGGGCGACAGATGACCCCGAGGGGGCAGGGAGAGCCCTGGGTTCCAGGAACCCAGGGCCTCTGACCAGCTGCTTGCCTGCAGACCTCCTGGACCACACAGATGCTACCAGGCCCCCAGTGGCCTCCCCAGAGGGGCCCCCACTGGAGGGGGACAAGCAGTCGCCCAGCACCGGGCAGGGTCCCTTCTTCTACATCGGAGGCACCAACGGGGCGTCCATGTGAGTGGGGCCGGTGGCCCTGTCTGCCCCACACCCCCACCTTGTGGCCGGCAGTCCCCGCGCCGTCCTCCAGGGACCCTTGGCCCCGGGGTCACTGCTGCCTCCACCCACAGAATCAGTGCCTACTGCAGGAGCAAAGGCTGGCAGCGCACGCAGGACAGCCGGCGCGAGGACTGCAAGCTCACGTGGTGTGAGATCAAGTGCCGGGACAGCTACTGCAGCTTCCGGGAAGGTGGGGGGCACCCCAGCGGGGGGCCGGGCCTCTGGGTCCTGCGGCGCTGCCCACATGCCACCCCTCCTTGTCCTGCCAGGCCAGCAGCTGCTCTTCCAGCTCCCCAACAACAAGCTGCTCACGACCAAGATCGGGCTGCTCACTGCCCTGCGGGAGCACRCACGCGCACTGAGCAAGGCCAACAAGGTGCCCCCGGGCGGCCAGGCCAAGTGAGCCCCCCGCCTGCAGGGTGTCACCCCGCCCTCAGTGTACACCTCCTCTGTCATCCACCTGTCCCTGAAAGACCCGGTCCCCCCGACCAGGCGCCCACTGCTCTCCCTACCCGCGGGCCCTCAGGGCTAACCCCCCTCTGAGACGCCCCCGACCCTCTAGATCTGGGCCTCCTCCCACCATCCACCATGCTCCGCTCYGGCCACCACTGCCTCCACCCCGCCCTGCCACCCCCAGGAATCTCTGTCCTCCCACACAGCTACGCAGGTCCCTCGGGCATGACCGCTCACCACCCACCCCTGCCACTCATCCTCCCTGCCCTTTCCCCCTCCGGCCATGTTCCTCCGTCTCCTGCCTTCAACCCCACCGCACAGCCAAGCCCGCACTCAGGAGCCCGGGGCCTCCATCCACTTCCCAGTTCAGCATTCATCTAACACGCCCACCGCCTGCCCCTCCCTCGTCACCTGCCCGTCAAGCAGACAGCCAGCGGCGTCCATCCGCCATCTGCTCATCCACGACTCATCTTAACATCTGTCCAGTGTCCATTTCCCTTGCTCACAGTATCCATCTGTCCAGCAGACCTCCTGCCTGCMCCCGTCTACCTCCATAACCAGCCGTCCTCCATCTCTCCAGGCCCCCATCCATTCTCCACTGAGGAGGTGGTCACTCAGGCCAGGGCCTGTGTCCCTCTCTGCAGATGTGGAAAGGACACGACGGTGACCCTCGAGGAGCCCACGTGGATCAGTCCGGGATGCCTCGGACCACAAAGGTAAGTGCACCCAGTTCTGATCCGGGGCTCACAGCAGGGTGCCACCAGAAGGGACTTGGGCAGGTGGCAGGGCGGGGTGAGCAGGGCCTCCAGCCTCTGCTGCAGAGAGGCCAGTGGTGTGGTGGCCAGAGGCATGCCCCTGGCCAGGCAGAGTGCAAAGGCCCTGCGGGGACGCACTGGGTCTTCTGGGGCCTAGGTCAGGCCCCCAGAGTACCGCCAAGCCCCAGGGCAGGGGACAGCCCTGCCACGCTCTCTCCACCTCCCTGCTCTCCCAGGGCTCTGAAAATGGAAGATTTTTTCCCAGAGACCTACCGTCTGGACGTCAAGGATGAGAGACAGACCTTTGTCACCCTGTTTGATGGTGAGAGGCTGCAGACAGCCAGATTCAGGGGGACAGCAGCCTGTCGGGGGCAGTGCACGTCCTGGGAGCATGGAGGAGTCTCGGGGGGAAGGCTGGGGAKCGGGGAGGGTCAAGGCGCTGGAGGGGTGTCGGGGCAGGGCCATGGATGGGGGCCCTGGTGGGCGGGGTCCAGTGGAGGCAGGGGCCTCAGCTGCCTCTCACCACCCAGAGCAGGGTGGGGTCCCTGTCTGGTCAGGCTGAAGGTGAGAAGTGGGGAGCGTCACGGCCAGGTCCCAGGGAGGTGGCTAGAGCTCCAGTGTGGTCAGGGCCAGGGCAGGCCAGGATGGGGGTGGGGTGGGGCCGGAGGCTCAGGGGGTGCTCCCTGCAGAAACCCAGATATGGATCTGCAAGCCCACGGCCTCCAACCAGGGCAAGGGCATCTTTCTGATCAGGAGCCAGGAGGAGGTCAACGCCCTGCAGGCCAAGGCCCAGAGCCTGGAGGACGACTCCATCTACCGCAAGATGCCCTTTCGGGCACCTCAGGCGCGGGTGGTGCAGAGGTGTGGGCGTGGGCTCCAGGAGGGGCCTGGGTGGGGCTGGTTCAGATGAGAGGGTACCTGTGAGGGCTGTGGTGGTCAGCAGGCCTACAGAGCCGTCCCCAGATACAGGCTCCAGGACCGGGTGGGGGGGAGGACTTGGCCAGTTGCCCCTGTCGCACCAGCTCCTCTACTCCCCGGCCAGCTGTGGCTTCTCTGCCTCCAGGCAGGTCCAGCCCCTCAGCACCCCAGGGGCAGGGTTGGGGGCGGGTTTCAAGAAGGTCCCCTGGACCTCAGCCTCTGGCAGCCGGGACTCAGCTCTGGCCACAGCTGCTGTCTGTCGTCCCTGCTGTCCAGTCAGCCCTCCTGGGCACTGCTCCCGGCCTCTGGTCTTGAAGACCTGAGCTCCCCTGCTTGGAATGTCCGCTCCCTTCTGCCCCAAGCCGCTCACTCTTCCTGGCTCTCAGTAGCTCCTTCCCCCGCAGGGACCCAGTCCATCCTGACTCCAGGCTCCTAAAGGAGGCTGTGGCCAAGGTCTGCAGGCCATGCCCTTCCTGCTTCCCCACTCCCCGACTGACCGGCTCAGGCTCAGGAATGTCCCCTGCCCCTGGACATGTGCCCAGCCAGAGGCCACTCCCATGACAGGGGCGTGTCGGGAGAAGGCAGGGGGAAGGGGGACGCCGGCCAGGCTGGCAGGGCAACTCAGCCCCAGTGGCCGCATGGGGTGCCCAGGTACATCCAGAACCCGCTGCTGCTGGACGGGAAGAAGTTTGACGTGCGCTCCTACCTGCTCATCGCCTGTGCCGTGCCCTACATGGTGTTCTTTGGCCACGGCTATGCCCGCCTCACCCTCAGCCTCTACGACCCCCATTCCAGTGACCTCAGTGGCCACTTGACCAACCAGGTAAGGAGCCCTGGCAGGTGAAGGTCTTCCCTGAGGCAGGGGGTGGGACGAGAGGAAGGCAGGGCTGCTGCCCTCAGCCCCCAGCTTGGCTCCACCTGGTGGGCCAGAGAAGGGCCTCAGCGGAGGACTGCAGGGCAGGAGGCCCTGCTGGCTGAAGGAGTCCGGGTGGACCAAGGTGTTTGCAGGAGGGTCTCCAGAGGCAGGCGCCCAAGGGCCTGGGGCAGCAGGGTCAGGGCCTCCTCAGTGCAGGTGGCCTCCAGGCCCTTGTCTTTTCCCCAGTTCATGCAGAAGAAAAGCCCCTTGTACGTGCTACTGAAGGAGGACACGGTGTGGAGCATGGACCACCTCAACAGCTACATCAACGACAAGTTCCGGAAGACCAAGGGACTCCCCCGAGACTGGGTCTTCACCACCTTCACGGTCCGTCCGCAGCGGTACCCCTCCTGCTGTGGGAGGGAGGGTCGCTGAGGTCAGGGAGCTGGGCGTGTCCACCTGGGCTGAGCTGGGCGTGAGGCCTGTCGTGGGGCCTGGGGCCGGGGAGCACTGAAGCTTTGTCTGCATGTGTCCCACCTGCGAGGGTCCCTGCAGGGCCGGTGGTGGCAGCACAGTGTGAGAGCTGACAGTTCCTGACTCACAGGGCCACTAGAGGAGGTCACAGGCCGGAGAGGACAGGACTTCCCTGCTCACGGGTCACCTGGGCAGGTGTCTGTCCTTGGGAGTATTTGTCAACTGTGCACTTCGGAGGGGCCTGGCAACAAGGGCCACAGAGGAGTGGGCGGAAGCGGGTGAGCACCAGCTCCACAGAGGGACCGGCCTCTCCTTGCTCAGCCTGGGCTGGCCAAAGCGGAGGTCAGCTGCTGCCTGGCTACCACTCCTAGTCAGGGCCCTGTGGACTGTGCAGGTCACCAGTGTGAGGTGTCCCCAGTCCTCTTCCCCTGCCCCCCAAATGCACACAACTCAGAATCCACCATTTAAAGCGCTCAGGGCAGTGGTTTCCCACATCAGGCTGCGGCTGCCCCCGGTCTGACTCCAACGCTGTCACCCAGAGAGACACCGGCAGCGGTCCTCCCCCCCGGGCAGCCGCTCACCTGCCGTCCTGGGTGTCCTGCCTCTGGATGTCCATCCAAGGGTGTCCCTCAGTGGGTGACCTGTGGCCTCCCTCCTAGGGTGTCCCTCAGTGGGTGACCTGTGGCCTCCCTCCTAGGGTGTCCCTCAGTGGGTGACCTGTGGCCTCCCTCCTAGGGTGTMCCTCAGTGGGTGACCTGTGGCCTCCCTCCTARGGTGTCCCTCAGTGGGTGACCTGTGGCCTCCCTCCTAGGGTGTACCTCAGTGGGTGACCTGTGGCCTCCCTCCTAAGGTGTCCCTCAGTGGGTGACCTGTGGCCTCCCTCCTAGGTGTCCCTCTGTGGGCCACAGGTGGCCTCCCTCCAGGGGTCCCTCTGTGGGCCACACGTGGCCTCCCTCCAGGGGACCCTCTGTGGGCTATATGGTGGCCTCCTAGGTGCTCCACCTTGCTGCACACCTGCTGTGTTCCCTCTCTGGCACCCTAGTGTGAGTGGACCCCGGTTGTMCACTGAGCCCAGGCCGCTATATTCTGTGATTGCCGTCCTGAGTCAGTGTGGTCCAGACACAGATGCATTTCTTCTGAATGTCCTAGGAAGGAGCTGTGGGCCCAAGGGTGACTTGTTCGCTTTGGGGGACAGTCCCACAGTGGCTGCAGTGTTGGACATTCCCAGCTTCTGCATCCCCTCACCATCAGCTGCTGCTGTTCTGTTTTTAACAGCCTGCTGTGTTCCCGCTGGGTCTCATGTGGAGCTGATTGGTATCTCCCTAGTGACAATGACCTTGAGCGTCTTCTGTGCTCACGGGCTCCCTTCTCTTTGGAGCCTCTCTGTGTTCTCTATTCAGCTGAGACACTTCTTCAGATGTTTTGAATACCAGAACCTTGCCATGTACATGATCCAAAAATCTTTTCTCTCGTTTTGTTGTCTTCACTTTCTTGATAATGTCCTTGTTCGTAAAAGCATTTAGTTTTTGCTTTGTTTGGTGCTGGGGATTGAACTCAGCACAAGTTGCGTGCCGAGCACACACTGTACCATTGCCTTACACTGAATAAAGTCTAAAAGCTTTTACTTTTTAAATATTTATTGTGGTACTGAGGATTGAACCCAGGGGCACTTTACTGTTGAGTGGCATCCCCAGACCTTTTTAAAATTACTTTTATTTTGAGACAGGGTCTCATTAATTTGCAGAAGCAGGATTACAGGTGTGGGTCACAATGCCTGGCCAAAAGCTTTTAATTTTGATGGAGGCCCATTTTATCTATTTTTTCTTATGGTTCTTCATGTTTTGGATGTCATATCTAAAAAAATATTTCCAGGTTTGGGTGCAACTCAGCAGTAGAGCACTTACCTACATAGGGTGCTTGGTTTGATCCCCAGAACCACAATGAACAAAGATCATCACATTTTTTGTTTTCCTCTAAAGGTAATGCAATCTTCCCCATTTTCTGGATGACTGATTTTGTGCCCAGTGGGAGGTAGGGATCCAGCCTCCTCTGCTGGAGTTCTCTGGCTTCGAGTTCTCCTTTGCTCTGTTGAACAGACTGTCCGGCCCTCACTGAATGGTCTTCGTGTGGGCTCCCTTCTGGACTCTCAGCTCTGTTGATGCATGCAGTGACTGTCCTGAGGCCAGCACCACACCTTTCAGTCACTGCAGCTCTGCTGTGAGTCTTGAAATCAGGAGTGTGAACCTTTCCGTGTTGGTCTTCTTCAAGATGGTCTTGGTTTTTCTGGGGTCCCTTGCAATTCCATATGAATTTAAGGACTCGTTTTACATTCCTGGGAGGCAGTCCACTGACGTTGGAATAGGGGTTATATTGAGTCTATAGATCACTTTGGGTAGCACTGACATCATAACAATATTTAGCTTTCCAACCTATGAACAGGGGAGGTCTTTCTACATCCGCTCTGGCGATGTTTCCTAGTTTTCAGCGTACCAGTCTTTCACCTTCATAAATATTGATCATAGCCATGTTATTCTTTTGGGTGACATTGTGAATGGAATTTTTTTTTAATATTTATTTTTTTTAGTTCTCTGCGGACACAACATCTTTGTTGGTATGTGGTGCTGAGGATCGAACCCGGGGCCGCACGCATGCCAGGCGAGCGCGCTACCGCTTGAGCCACATCCCCAGCCCGTGAATGGAATTATTGTCTTAATATCTTCTTTGGATTGTCAAATGGATAGTGTGTGTGTGCATATTGACCTTGTATACTGCGACTTTGCTGAATTTATGAGCTCTAATTTTGTATGTGGATTTTTAGGATTGATACATATTATGTATATAGGGTCATGTCACCTGAGAGTGGAGAGAGTCTTATTCTTTCTTTCAAATCTGGATGAATTTTGCCTCTTTTCTGCCCTACAGTCCCAGTACCCCCTGGTCTCCTTGTCTGGCTCCTGAGCTGAGGGGTTTCCACAGCTCCCTGGTCATGCCGGGTTCCTTTCTTCCCCTCGTCTGCTCAGTGGTTTTATCATGGAAGGTGTTGAATGACGCCGTCACTTTTCCTGGTTGGGTGTTATTTCCCCTCACTCAGTGTCTTGTATTGCACTGTTAGCCTTTCTGTGCTGAAATACTCTTTCTGGGGTAAATCCCACTTGATAGTGGGATGTAATCAGTTAAATATGCTACTAGACTTTGTTTGCTAGTTTTTATTGAGAATTTTGTGTTTATGCTCATCAATAATATTGGTCTGAAGTTTTCTTGTCTTCTGGTTTTGACGCAGAGCACATTAGTCAGCTTTCTGTCCCTGTAACAGACACTGAGCTTTCTTGTGGCTTACAGTTTTAGAGGTTTCGGTTCATGACCAGTTGGACCTTGTTTTGGGTTGGTTAATTTCAGCTAATTTGTCTTTGAATACAGTCTATTAAAGACAACCTACTGCAGTTTTTTAAAAAATGCATTCTGCCAACTCATTTGAGATTCTAACCCATTATATAACTATCAATAAGGTAGGATTTACATTTCTTTTTTCAAACTCAGGATTGAACCCAGGGGCACTTTACCATTGAGCTACAACTATGGCCTTTTCTATTTTTTTATTTTGAGACATCCCAGGCTGACCTCAAACTTGCCATCCTCCTGCCTCAGTCTCCCAAGTCCCTAGGATAACAGGTGTGGCCCACTGTTCCCAGTTTATTACTCTTCAAACATTGTTTCTGCTCCTTTCTCTCCTCTCCTTCCGGGACTCCCACTATGCATGTGTCTGCTTGATGATGGTGCTCCACACCCAAGTATCTCCTTTTTTTTTTTTTTGGGGGGGGGTGCTGGGGATTGCACCCAGGGCCTTGTGTATGCAAGGCAAGCACTCTACCAACTGAGCTCTATCCTTAGAGAACTACCATAACCAGGTCTCTAAGGCTTTATTTTTCTTCATTATTCTTTCTTTTTCTCAGACTGGCTCATTTAAATTTTAAATTGAGACTGGGGCCAGCCTGCACAACTTAGATACACCTTGGCCCCAATCTCATGGGCTCGAGTGTGGCTGGGGCTACAGAAGCATGCCACCACCCCCAGCACCAGTGGACCTTTTATTTTAGTCACAATACTTGTCCACTCTAGAAGTTCTACTTGCCTTCCTTCTGTCAAGAAGATTTGTTCCACTAGGTCCACTAATGGGAGATATTTTCCAAGGCTACTGCTGAGCTGGGAAACAGGAAGTGAAACCAATGAGGCGAGTCTGAATACTAGAGAGCTCCCCATTCTTAAAAAATATTTTTGGCTGTAGGATGGACATAATATTTTATTTTATTTTATTTTTTTATGTGGTGTTGAGAATCGAACCCAGTGCCTCACACATGCTAGGCAAATGCTCTGCCACTAAGCCCCAGCCCAGTCCAGAGCTCTGTGTCCTGGCCAAGATTTTGCCCCTCCCATTGGTTGTCTGGTCCTGCTGTGAGTGAGTCATTCAAGGACAGAGGTTTCCTGTCCCCTTCACCCTTGAATCCTCAGCCCTCCTGCCACACAGGAGGAAGTCCATGGGTTGTTGAGTGAGTTTCTGGATGGTGGGGTAGCGGAGCAGGTACAAGTGGGAGTGTGATTGACAGCTCAGGCTTGGGAGATGTCACCAGGACTCACAGGTCAGAGACTGTGATCCTTCCCTGCTTGACCCACAGAGGCGGATGCAGCAGATCATGGCCCACTGCTTCCTGGCAGTCAAGTCAAAGCTGGAGTGTAAACTGGGGTACTTCGACCTCATTGGCTGTGACTTCCTGATTGATGAGAACTTCAAGGTGCTGTCCTGAGTGGATGAGGTTTGATTGGCAGGTGCAAGGAGGCACCGTCCATCTGTACACCTCGACCACACCACAGGCCCGTGGGTGCACTCTGCAGTCAGACCCACCCTGCCTGTTCCCAGCCCCAGGGTGCTGTATCCATCAGGCTCAGCTCCTACTGCAGCTGGGGCAAATCCATACCCCCTCCTCAGGGCAGCCCTGGACAGAGGCCCTCAGACTGTCAGACCCATGGTCAAACAAGGGGATGGAGGTTACAGGGCAAAAAGCCATCTGCCCAGGGTCACTTGGCTTCCTGGGAACCAGGGCCCCAGCCTCCTGCTGGCCAGTGGTCTGTAGGTGGGTGGGTGAGTGGGAGGGTGAGTGGGGGTGTTCACCAGTGTCCTGCCCAGGTGTGGCTCCTGGAAATGAACTCCAACCCTGCCCTGCACACCAACTGTGAAGTCCTGAAGGAGGTCATCCCTGGCGTGGTCATGGAAACCTTGGGTGAGCCTCAGCACCCCGACCCCACCACTATGTGGAAGGAACCCTCTCCCTGCCTGCCCTCTCCCAAGATCAGATCCCACAAATCTAGCTCTCCAGCAGGCCCGAACCCTGCATCATGCCCCAACGTCGCTGCTCAGGTTGTCCCCCTACGCCTCACCCGGAGCTGGGTCCCACCCTTCGAGGCCCGCTCTCCTCCCCTGCCCCCAGAACCCCAGGCCAGTTCTGGGGAGGCTGGACCCCCTTTCCACCCGCGCCAAAGCCCGACTCTTCCCACTCCTCCCCCAGACCTGGCGCTTGAGACCTTCCAGAAGAGCTTACGGAGTCAGAGGATGATGCCCCTGCTGTCGCAGCGCCGCTTCGTGCTCCTGCACAACGGCGAGGCGGACCTGTGGCCGCGCCTGGGGGGCTCGCGCACCTTCCCGCGCCGGCCACCACCGCCCCGGCCACTCTGCGAGGCCGCGTCCTCCGCGCCCCCCGCGCCGCGCGCCGCAGACAGGCCAGGCGCGCGCAGGCCCGCGCCTCCCCGGGGCGCGCCCGGACGGCCCCTCTCCGCCCCGCGCCGTCCCCGGCCGCCCGGCCTCGGCGCGGGCTCTGCCGGCACCCCAGGCGAGGAGACCGCGGCCCCCGGCCCCGAGCGGCCGCGCGGGGACAGCAGGGACCCGGCGCGGGAGCCCTCCCCGGAGCCGCCGGAGGAGGAGCGCCCGGAGCGGAGGAGCGCGAGCCACCGCGGCTCCTAGACCTCGGCACCCGCACCCAGCGGCCCCAGCGCGCGGCCGCGCCCTCTGGGGACCTATAAAGGCTACTTTGTGACAAACGCGGCCTCCACCGAGGGTCTGGCGGGCCGCCGCCCCGGCCCGCGAGCCGACCCACCTGGGCGACCCGCGTCCTTCCCTCTGCCCACCAACCCCGACTCCACCCCACCGCCGTCCTGAGGGCGAGGTGGGGGCTGCGGGAAGGAGGTGTGCCCGCCCCACAGTGCCGGCCCGTCCTCCCTCAGGGCGCAGCCCACCGGCTCCTGATCTCCTGCCCAGGGCCCAGTGCTCCTCATCCCCCAGGACCGGCCTGCAGCCCTCATGACCCCCAACGCCAGCCTGGCACTGGGATCCGCCACAGTGAGGTTTCTCCAGGAAAGGTCTGGATCCCCGTGGACTCTTCGGAACCCCTCTGGATTGCTCTTCTGGGGCTGCCCATGGCTCGCCCCGACCCTGCCCAGCACGGCTTTTATCTGGGCCTTGGACACCAGGCAAGGGCACTCTCCATAGCCCCACCTTGGAGGAGGAGGGCCCAGGGCTTTTGGTAGTGGTCCCCGAAGAATGTGGGGTCAGCACTGGCCAGGCCCCAGCAATCCTGAGGCCTCCCACACTACTCCCTGTGGGCCTGGGATTTGAGGAGAGAACTCCAGCACTCCGGGCCCTGAGGTGTCTAGGCCTCCACCCAGTGGCCAAGGCATTACCTTACCGGCGTCGGAGGCTCCCCTCTCCAGGGGTCCTGCAGGCCCCCAGCTGGCACACACTTCTGCTGGTGCTACCCCAACTCCACGTGGTCATGGCCCGGCATCAAATCCTCCTGAGCTGCCCCACTGCTGACCTTCCCTTGTCCAACAGCGGAGCCAGCTCCACCCCAAATGCAGAGTGGCTGCTTTCTCTCTGTCTGCATTGGAGTGATGGAAGCATCTGAGGGGGCCAGAGAACCTGTCTTGGGGTGCTGGCTCCCTACCCCTTGCAGGCAGGGCTGTTGCCATCCAGGGATGCAATTCCATGACACCACTAGAGGGCGCTGTCTGCCACTGTTTCTGGCCAGCATACCTAGGGACCGGTGCAGTAGGCAGCCAGGAACAGACAGGGACAGGGGCTCAAAGAGGTAAAGTGAAACCCCCCCCCCATCACAGAGCCCCTGGTCGTGGAGACCCTGGGGGTACACCTGTGGTTAGCCCATGCCACAGCTCCCATACACACTGCCTGCCCTGTCCTGGGTGCTCTATCCAACCCTAACCCAAGTCTAGTCACCCTGCTGCTGTGGCCCACAGCCTGGAGTCCCGCCTGCTAGGCAAGAGCACACAAGTGTTCCTGTGGGAAGGGCCCAACTCTGGAGTCCACCAAGGCCAGGGAGGGGCCAAGACCCTTTGAGGCCACATGGCCATAGCTCCTGGCTGCTGCAGCCATGTCACCTTAGGGTCACCTCTTGCTCTCCCTCGGCTCTGGTCACTGAAACCCCTGAGCCTTGGTGCCTGATAGGCCTCTTGCCCACTCTGGCGCCCAGCCCAAGTTGGGGTTCTGTTCCATGGTGGCCTCACTACTGTCACAGAACACTGCAGCACTCCTCACCTGCCACAGTGGGGCTATTGACCTCAGGTTCAGGGGCCTCAAGATGTCAGCAGAGGTGACAGAGCCCTTGGGAGGTGCTCCCCTGCTGCCTTGGGGACAGGAGCCTGCACGAGACCTGTTCTGAGAAGGGCCCATGGCAGTGCTTGGCCCTGTTCCCTATGGAGCTCCCCAGAGGCCAGGACTGTATCTGGCAGCCCTGAGAGCCCAGATGTCAATAAAGGATGTTTCCTGAGAATCCCTGCTCCTCATTCGTTCCACAGGAATGACAGCCACATCCCGCCCCACGGGGCCCTCCCCAGCTCCTCCCAGCCCACATGCAGGCTTTGAGGTGCCCTCTAGTCCAGGACTGCCAGGGGTCCCGGGGAGAGGTGGGCTGCGGAGCACTGAGCCCTGGGTGTCTGGCAGGTGTGAGGTCTTCAATTCAGGCAGAACCAGCAGGGTCCAGGGACCTCACAGACCTGCAGCTGGAGAGGTGACCCTCCCTATCACACTCCCTCTTTCTCCCTCATCCTCTCCCTCTCTCCTCTGCCCACTCCTTTTCCCTCCCTCTCTCTTCCAGGGCTAAATTCTGGGGTCCTGCTGGTGGGCAGGGAATTCAAGACGTGTCCTCTACCAGCAGAAAGTAGAGGGAGTCAAGTGGCCCCCAGGCCTGACCCGGCTCCCATCCCTGCAGCCCACGGGGGCCGACCAGGACAGACCCTGCCTCAGCCAGGGCTCCTGAGCACCCGGTGTCAGCCAGACCAAGGTCTACCGGGGCTGTCTGCTCACCCACCCCTCAGCCCCCTTCCCCTTGGAAATATCTGGTGGGATGGGGGCAGAGGCCAGAGCAGCCCTGGACCTGAATCACCATTTCTGGAAAGCACCCCAATCTTGGAGCTTCCTGGAAAAATGAGGTGATGGGTGAATGTCTGTCTTCCTGACCAAAAAGGGGGTGAGCAGCTGGCTGAGGGCAGCCCCTCGAGTGAGCCGTCCCCTGGTAGGGAGGCTGGGACCGGAAGATGGCCCAGTCCAGGGACAGTGCCCATCTGATCACGTGGGGGCACATCCCAGCCTCTGGGGCTGCCAGGCCCCACCTGCCCTCTAAGGCCCCTCCAGTTGTTCTGAGACTTGGGCTGGGGGCCAGTTGTGTCTACCCCATCCTCACCTTAACTCTGCCCAACTGGAAGGGATCTCTCCCTTAGTTTGAGCCCTGCCCTGCCTGAAGCAGATCTCAGTGAAGGGGGTGTCTTTGAGGAAGTGGGTGGAGCTGGGCTGGCAGGCACCCACTGTGGCCGGAAGCACTTCTGGGAACAGAGATGGCCTCTGGGGCCTTATCTGAGGCTGAACAAAACCTACCCACTGTGGGGCGGCCCGGGAGAGCTGAGGCCAGGGGAGCTGCGGTTTTCCGGAAGAGCTGGAGAGCCTCCTGTGGGAGGGGTTGGCCTGGGGTGGGGGGCAAGCCTGTCCCCCCCCCACCAGCAAGCCTCACCTGCTCTCCACCCCAGCCCCTCTGGGTCTCCAGGCGCCTCCAGGCAGCCCTGGGCTCTGCCCCCACACCTGGATCTCAGGCAGGTGGACCCGGGCCAGGCAGGGGCTGAGGGGGACAGGGAGTGACGCCGGCTGAGAGCCTGGAGGGGGCTGGGCCAGCAGCGGAATCCCCCACCTGCTCTGCACAGACAGCCTTCCGCCCCCACCCCCGTACTGACGTGTGGCCCAGTCGCCCCCACGGGGCCGCCCCCCAGGGGTTTCCAGCTGAGTCAGCCCTGTGTAACCTTGGCCGACCTCGGTGCTTTCTGGGGACACCCCCAGAGGTGTCCTGAGGGGAGCCAGGGTGGGGTCCAGAGAGCCCCCCAGTGCCCCTTCCAGCTGTGCCAGACCTGGTTGGCCCAAGAGTTGACGTTGCCTGATCTGCCTCACTCCCCCACCCTGGGGTGAGGGTAGGCTCCTGGCAGCTCCCAGAGCACAGAGAAGGTGCTGGAAAAATGCTGATGCAGTGTCTTAATACATGGGTGACCAGAGGTAGATGACCACTGTCCACTCTCCAGCACGTCCCCAGCTGTCCCTGGGCTTTTCATGTTCTGGGTCCTGCTGTCATCCACTCCCACCAGTCTAGGCAGGCTTTGGCCTTCAGTCTTTCCCAGGAGCCTGTGTGCTGGGGTCCTGACACGCCAGACTGGCCAGACTGCAGGTCAMTTATCTGCTGTGGGCTAGGCCCACGGCCCAGTGCCACTGGGAGCTGAGGGGGCCGAGGGCAGATGGAGATGGGGAATGCGTGGGGGGCTGAGGGCCAGGTATGCACATGCCCCAAGGTGCTGCTAAGACTGGTCCCCACTGGTCTGCCACTCCCTGGACCGCCTTGCCAAGACGTCCCTATCAGATCTCTCCAGGAGCAGCTGCAGCTGGGGCTGCCAGGAGGCTGTGAACATGCTCTGCAGGGTGGGACCAAGTGCCATGCCCTAGAGAGAGGGATCCCAGGACAGGAGAAGGCCCAGCGCCACATCAGAAGTGCGGGGTGGAAAGTGACCAAGTCTGAGTCCCTGGGTCCGGGGCACAGTGAGGCAAGTCAGGTGGTGGGCAGTGCAGAAACCAGTCTCCACTGACTTTCAGAGGGGTGGTGGCCCAGAGACCGCAGGTCCAGCACGTGGCAGCTCAGTGTGGGCCAGAAGAGCAAGGAGAGGTGGTCTGGCTGAGCACCAAGAAGGCAGGTCCAGTGTGGAGCCTCTCCCCCAGGAAGCCCCCTGAGCTCTGTGGCCCTGCCAACGGCCTGTGCCCAGGACTGGAAGAGTCCTGAACTGGGCTCCCCCACCGCAGCTGGGAGCTCTGGGACGGGACTTGGCTGTGCCTTTGAAGCCTGGGAAAGGGACCACGGGTGTGGGTGGACAAAGTGCCCAGGACCCCAACCCTGGGCTCCCTGCCCYTCTGTCCCTTCCCCATTACACATCCACTCAGGTCACTGAACAAGTGTTTATTGAAGACCACCTGCAGCCAGGTCCCCTGCTGGACACTGCACACCCGTGGGGGGATCACAGACCCCACCCCAGCAGGGCTGGCCAGGGAGGAGGGCAGTCATGGCTGCCCATCTCTCCCACAGGGCCAGCCATGGCCACCACCCTTCCGCACAGTCTAGGGAACTTGTCACTGTCACCATCCTGTACCCACTTCCACCGTTGAGGGGAGCAGGGCCGGGCCCCGAACAGATGGAAAGCAGAGCCCTGGCTCCCCAGGGTCAGCCTGGGCCAGCTCCTGGGGAGGGTCTGGCTTGGGGTGCAGCTTCTCCTGAGGATGGTCAGCCTCACACCCACGGATGGCCCAGCTCGTCCTTCTCCAGCCGCTCCCCCCGCTCCTCCTCAGGGAACTGGCAGCTGCAGGCATCCTCCGCGGGTGGGGGGAGCACCTCTAGAAGTGGCGGGGTCTCTGTAGGGGGGTCGTGGTCAGTGACAGCCTGAGCCCTCCACCCTCTCTCCTCCCCTAGGACCCCAACTGACCTTGAGGCCACCTGTGCTTCCTCCTCAGCTGCCAGATGTGCAGGCTGAGCTGGGCTGTGGTCAGGACCAGGATGCAGGTGGCCAGGGCCAAGAGGAGGAGGGTCAGCTGGCCAGGTGGCTCAGCAGGCAGAGACCCCAGGATGCATACAGCATTGTGAGTTTTGTTCCCATGGAACATGGTGAGAAAACCAAACTGGTCGCAGCTGGGACACAGACACAGACATGGTCAACCTTGGTGCTCTGGGCTATGTAGGGGATCACAGGGCCCTCAGGGGTGGCCACGCTGGGAGGGACAGGACAGGATCCCTTGGAGCTACATGGCCAAGGCCTCACTCAGCACTCACTCTGTCCAAGGTCTGCAGCGGCCCTCGTGGCCACTGGAGAAGGTCCCCACAGCGCAGTCCACACATCTGAAGCCAAACTTGAAATTCCCTAGGAACAGACAGTTGACAGACTGCAAGAAGCCCTGGGGTAGGTGAGGACACAGGCCAGCGACAGGGTCCCCTGAGTTTGACCCCATGTTTTCCATTCACCAGAGGTCTCTGATGCCCAGAGGACCCGAGTCCTGCACAATCAGTGCTCGTGGGTACCAGTTACAGAGCTGGTGCAGATGGACAGGGCAGGTAGCAGGCCCTGAGTCAGTTAAGAGTGAGGGGCTGGAATCCAGACAGCTCCTGGACACCCCCACGGGCCCTCAGAGCCAGTCCTGAGGGTGTGAGCAGCACAGGCCCAGGATATGAGGGCAGGAGCTCCCCTAAAGCTGCAGAGTCAGGAGGCGGAAGATATCCTGGTCCACGTGCTCAGAGGATGCACCCACACCCCAGCAGACAGCACCCTGCCCGCCACACTCCCCGGAGCTCTGGGTCTGCCTCACACGGCCAGCAGTGGCCTCCCAGGGACTCACCTTCAGGCACTGCTTCCTGGCCTGGAGGGCAGGGGTGGTGGGTACAGGTCTGGCATCCAGGGTCCCCGCAGTGGAATTCGGACTTGACACATATACAGTCAGAACAGTTCTTCTCATCTGGGTGGAGGGTGAGCCAGCCTCTCAGCAGCCAGCCCGAGTCTCCTCCTTCTCCCACTTCTCTTCTGACCTCCACCCTCAGCCAGCTCCAGGCCAGGAGCCTGGGCTTTGTCCAACTCCATCTCCACCTCCCGCCCAGGGCCAGCCCCTCAGCACACATGGCTGGCTGATGGTGGGTGTGACTGGACAGGAAGTCACCTGGGGCTTCCTGAGAGCCCCCTTCCCCCTTCCCATCCTGCACTACCCCCTCCAGGCCCCAGGGACGCTTCAGAGGCTGTCCACTGTCCACCACAGCCTTAGAGATGTGGAAAAAGTGGGGTCAAACCCCAGAGGACCCTTTCACTGACCCTTTCAGAGCTGCCCTCCCCACCCCCAGGCCTGGAAGGGTGCTTTCCTGCAGTCCTCATCCAGGCACTCCCCCCGACCCACTATGGCAGCGGCAGCAGAGGGGCAGGAAGTGGCCTGGGTGATGGCCAAGGTTCCACTAACCGACAGGAGACCGGGAAGCCTTCCTTCCCCAGAACCGCAGGCCCTCTGGGGGTCTCCAGCTCCCTCAGGCCCCTGCCCTGTTCCCTGACCTTAGAAGCCTCAGCCGCCCTGCGAGATCCCTCCTTGGCCCAGCAGCTGGGTCTGCGCACGCGAGGAGGCGCCCGTCCATCCCCCGCTCCCGTGCTGCGTCTTACCCGGGGCACAGGAGCCACAGCAGCGCGTATCGGTCCCAGTCCCTTGCAGCCAGCGGCCAGGGCCGCAGTGCTGCCCTCGCGCGGGACTCAGACCCAGACCCAGACCCAGACCCAGGGCGCAGAGCAGCACCACCCCGCACAGGGAGGCCTGCGGGCCCATCGCGCCCCTCGGCGGTCCTGCTCCGGGGATTTTAGGAGGCCTGGCCTGCTCGGACACGCCCCGCCCCCGCCCTAGTTACCGCCTCCCTGGCTGCCGCCAGGCCTCCCCACCTCCAGCCTGCCGGGTGGTGTCCCGGCAGGGCTCTTAAAGGCCACCCAGAGAGGGTGGGAGGAAGCCTTCCATGAAGTATCCAGACCCCCAAAGAACCTCAGCATGGGTCCCACGGCTGGGAAGCCTGGGAAGCTAGGTGGGGAGCTAGGACCAGCCCCTCCCACCCAGCCCACCCTGCCGCTTGAGCCTGCAGAGTGTATACCTGTGCACAGCTGTGGGTTGGCGCTGTGTGGGTACCCCCCTGTGGCTTAAAACCTCCAGGGCATCCCCTTTGCCTCTCCCACCGCAGGGAGCTGACACAGCTTAAGAGCAGAGAGGCATAACCCACACCCTGGGCCTTCCTGCTTCTGCAGCCCCTGACAGCTGGTGGCTGCCAAGTCTCAAAGGGACGTCTGATCAGGTGTCCTGGACCTGCCGACGTCACAACTGGGGTCACATCTCCAACCTGTGGGCAGTCACCTCCCTGAGCCCCCTGCCCCAGGCCCATCCAGCACTCCTGGGCATCACCACCAACTTTCCCAGTGACAAGTCTCACCCGGGGGCTGAGAAGGGGAGCAGTCCAAGGAGGCTTGCTGATAAAGGCGACCCTTCAAAGAGGCTCAGAGAGACAGAAGTCTTGCTCTGAGGTAGAGACCAGAGCCTCATCCTCTATTCCCTCCGGGATGCCTGGATTTGAAAATGAAAGGGACTCCAAGGCAGGCAGGGTGATGAACACCAGTCATCCCCATGACTTGGGAGGCGGAGGAGGAGGACCTCAAATTTGGAGGACAGCCTCAGCAACTTAGTGAGCCAGTGTCTCAAAATAAAAGAAGAGCCGGGAATGTGGCCCTAGGTTCCATCCCCAGCAGCAAATAAATAAATAAAAGGATTGGAGATGTAGCTGGGTGGTAGTGTGCTTGCCTTGCCTGTGAGGCCCTGGGTTCCACCCCTAGTACTCAAAACAACAAAACACAAAACAGAAAGTGGCTCCGGAGAGTGAAAGCAGAGAGATCCAGAGTGGAACCAGCCCCTGCAGTCAGAGCAGGGCCTGTGCAGTTGGCCCTGCCCTGTGCCCTGGGGCCTGCCAGAAATGCCCAGCTATGGGCCTTCTTGGAAAGAAAAAGTACAGGTGCTGGCCTCTCCCGCTCTGGTCTCTGGATGCTGGGGCTCAGGCCACCCAGAGCAGAATCCCTTCTGTGAAGAGCCCAGCGCTCTCTGTGCAGCTCTGGTGGGTCTGAGTCCTGGAACAGAGAGGCAGCCACTGGCCCCTACCTAGATTCCAGGTGAAGGTGTGGACCTTGCTCCTGCTCATCTTAAAGACCTAAGAGGTCAGGCAGGTCCGTGTGAGCACAGGGTCCCCCCAGTCAGGGTGAGCACCCAGTGCCCGTGGCCTCTGGAACATGGGGCATCCGCTACAGCAGTGCTGTTCCTCCACACCATGAGCCCCTCGTCTTCTGGAAGCAGTGAGGAGGGGCCAAGGAGGCCTTGACCTGCTGGCTTTCAGCAGTCGGTGCAGTGTCCCCTGGAGGGGTCCTGGGGAGGAGATGGCCCTGGTGTCACAGGGCAGCTCAGAGGAGCAGGCTCTGCATGGAGGCTGCTTCCCAGAGACCTAGGGCCCTGGTGGCAGCTGTGGAGACTGGAAATCAGGGTGCGGTGGGGGTGCTGGTGAGGTCAGCAGCCTTCCTGCCCACCCCCTCCCGGGGCCCTCCTGGCGTTCTCCGCCATTGAGTGGCAGAGACGTGGTTTCTGCTGCTTGCTCTGTTGGCCCACATTTTGTGAGCAGCTCCTCATGCTTCAGACCTCAGTGGTGTGTGCTCACAGCAGCAGGGTCCCTGGCCCAGGCCCCATGAGTCCCCACCTTGTCCAGCAGGGGCTGACAGAGGGTGTGACGCTCCTGGCAGAGCAGCTTCTGGGGCGGAAGGGGGTAGTGGCTGACGCCTGGGCCAGGGCCTGGGCCCTAAGGGAGGATATGGCAGGGCAGCCAGGCCTGGGGTCCAGGTAGGGCCTGGGGAGATCCGGGGATTTTCAGGGCCAGGGGGATGGAAAGTGAGCCTAGCACCAGCACAGAAGGAAAGAGAAGGTGACCCAGAGTCCCTGGGGCAGGTCAGAGCATCCTGCAGAGGCAGGGGCCCCAGATTCCCAAGTGGGAAGGGAGCATCGGGAGGCTGGAGGGTCTGGCCCAGAGGGACGGGGCAGTGGGTGTGAGCTGTGGGGGAAGGAGGATCCCTCCCCAGCTAGAGGGGGTGCAGCCACAGCTGCAGACCACGGACCTTCCAGGCCTCACAGATCCCACCCCACAGCCCCTCCCTCCAGGTCCCCAGCTCTGCCCCCCGCCCCCGCCTACCCTGCTGCCCCAGCTCAGGGCAGGGCTGCATGCTGTCCTGCTTGTTGCAGAACCCAGCGAAGGGGACTGAGCCATCCAGGATGGCTGATGCCCTCGCTGGTAGACTCAGGTTGTCAGAAAGAAAAGGTGTTGGGGAAGGGGAGTCAGAGCCCTGGGAGCAGGAGGGCCAGGCACTGGGGTCAGACAGAGTACCCCAACACCACAAGGACTCGATATCCCAACCCGTCATAGAGTCAGGCCAGATGGCCCAGGTGGCCAGGCCAGTGAAGGCTGTCCCACCTCAGCTCTGTGTSCTCCCGCGGTGAGCGGCAGCTCCCGACACCAGCCCCTCTCCCGACTTGTGGATTTGCTCATGTGTTCGGCCACACCTGCTGGCCATTTCCCCCCTGGGATTAGGACCCTCCCATGTGGCTTGTCTTTAGGTCACTGAGCATCTTATCAGGCGGCTGTGGTCCCAGAGCTGGCCCTAGGACCCCTGAGCAGCGGAGGGCGGCTCTGGGACCTTGAACCCCAAGGGGGGTCACGGCCTCCCGTCTCTCAGCATGGAGCTGGTGTGGCCTGGGAGGCCGTCTGAGCTGTCTTCAGTCGACTGCTCACTCTGCTGTCGGTGGACTTTGGGGCTTTTCCAGCTGGGGATGATTTTTACATGAGGTGGCTGTGGACACTGGTTCACCTTCCAGGGCACTTGTTTCTGGGGGGGTAAAAGCCCAGGAGCAGAACAGCCAGGTCTCAGGACAGAGTTTGGTCCAAGCAGAGGCCTCTAGTTTTACAAAGTGGCTGCCCTATGGGGTGCCCCTGCAGGGACATGGGGACTGTGGCCAGCTACCACCAGGGACTCCCCAGGCAATGTCCTCCCACCAGGGACTCCCATGGCCACTGCCCACCAGGTAGAGGGGTGGGGCTTAGAGGCTGGAGAACAACTACCAACCCAGGCTTTCCCCCAGCCGCAGAAGCTGAAAGGAGGCTGGCGCTTGCAGGGCCCCTGTGTTGACCAGGKCACGAGGGTCCTTCTCTCTGTCAGGGTTCCCCCCAATCAGCCTAGGGTGTGGGTCCCTTGGAACAGAGGCCTCTGTACCAGCTCTCAGGCCCAAGCTCCCAGTGCTCCACTCTGCCATCTCCCGTCCCTCCCAAGACCCCAGGACTCCACTAGGACACTCTCAGTCGCCTCCCACTTCCCACCCTCAGACTGGAGCATGCCCTGCCCACTCAGATGGGCCTCTGAGCGGACCCCCACCCCGAGCTTGGCGGAGATCCCTCCCCAGCTAGAGGGGGTGCAGCCACAGTAGCTGATGTGTTTATTGGGGTGCCGCTGGGCAGGTAGTATGCACAACATACGTAGGAGAGCCCAGAGCCGGCCCAGCACCTAGAACGGTGTGGAGGGCACAGGTGGGTGGCCTGTGCCTGGGGCGTTGTCCCACAAAGCCCACCCCCAAGATGCTCTCAAATCTTGGCCAGGGTGGAGTGTGCGTCGGGCTGTTCCTCTTGAATGGGGGTCCGGAAGCTGTTTCCCCCTAGGGAGAAGAGGGAGGTGGCTGGAGGTGGGGTGTCTCTCTCCTCCAGGAGGGGCCTGGGCTGGTCACAGTGGACACTCACCGGATGACCTCCAGGCCCTTCCATGCAGGTGCAGGGCCAGCAGGACAGCCAGGGGCGCCAGGAGGCTCAAGCCCAGGCCCAGGACAGCAGCCAGCGGGAGGCCTGCAAGGAATGTCAGTGAGGGGGCACCCCCACCCCACTCTCCATCCCGACTCCCCTCCTGGGCCAGGCCCCTTACCCCTGGGGGCCTCTGACGGGGGCGTGGAGGGCCCTAGAGAAGTTCCAGGCAGGGCTGCAGTGGGCAGAGCAGTGGTGGGCCTGGCTGTGGGGCCCTGGGTCTCCCAGGGTAGTGTGCCTGGGGAGGTCCTGTTCTCGCAGAGGGTGTCTGAGCTCCTGCTGCCCGGTTTTAGGGTGCGCCTCCCAGTCAAGGTGCAGCTGGGGGAGGGGGAGTCGGTCAGTCAGGCCAGATGGTGATGGGCTCCACACCGGATGACCTCAAGAGCCTCTGACCCTAGGCCAAAGGTCTTGGAGGTCGCGCCCTACGCCCCTTCCTCAGGCCACACGCCTTGCTGCACCCACCCTCCATCCCCATGACCCCCAACCCCTGGTCCCCATTTTCCCCAGCTCCCTGCCACCTCTGCACCCCAAACCCACACAGCACGCCTCTTCCAGCCCCTGGAGCAGAACCCTGGAGGACGGGGGCCTCACACTCCTGGGGCCCCGAGTTATGATCCCACAGGCCTCCACTCTACCCGCAGGGACCCTGCTGTTGGGGACAGGCCCCAGGAGCTCCCCAGCCAGGGCTTCCTGCTCCCTGACCTGGCCCAACCCTCAGTGGGAGCCCAGCGCTCCCCCCCCCCCCCCCCCCCCCCCCCCCCCCCCCCCCCCCCCCCCCCCCCCCCCCCCCCCCCCCCCCCCCCCCCCCCCCCCCCCCCCCCCCCCCCCCCCGAGCCCCAGCCCCAGCCCCTGCCCCCACCCCACTCACTTGGTCCAGGGCTTGCAGGCCTTGTTGTCGCCTGGTGAGAAGTGGCCAGGAGGGCAGGGGGCACAGTCTGCAGCAAACACCCCGGGGGTCTTTGAGCTCTGACCCCGGAGGTTCCTAGAGTGGGGGCCTGTGGGGCTGGTGCTCACCCCCATGGCAAGCGGGTGGGTGGAAGGCCTCGGGAAGACCCCTGTGCACTCTGCCCACTGACCCGTACCAGGGAGCTGACGGGAAGCCCCATTCTTGATGTGACCCTTCTGGCCCAGCCCAGAGGGGGAGACTGGGGACCGACTGTGTGATGTGAAACATGGCTCATTCACACCCTTACCAAGGCCTGTGGCTTCAGGGTACCACCTCACACGCACTGGGCAGGCACAGACACTCTCCCACCCCGGGGCCAGGGCCACCACAAGGCTCACCGACTCCAGGCTTAAAGCCATCCAGGGGCTGAGTGCCTGGCCTACAGCGGCAGACAGTGTCCTGCGTGGGTGTGCATTTCTTCTTGAGCTCACTCCCACTTCCTGGGGGAGCAGGTGGAGGCTGTGGAGGAGGCTGGGCCTGCCCAGGCTGCAGACAGTGCCCCAGGAAGGGGGAGCTGGCCTCCTCTCCAGCCTCATCCCAGGCCCCCTCTGCAAACCCCGAAGCCCCAGGGTCCCAAGCCTTCCCTCCTGTGACCGCTCCCTGGCCCCTCGGTTCCTCTGAGTCACCAGACCCTGGTGAGGGCCCTGGGGCCGCTCTGGCTCTCTTCCCCACCCTCCTTCCACCCGTTAGCCTGCAGCACCTGAGCTGGACCCTGGTGGCTCCTGGGGTGAGGTAAGGCCACAGGGTAGGAGCTCCACGTGGCCCCAGGCCAGCCACAGCCAGAGCAGAGCAGAGCCTCGGCCCCAGGAGGGGGTCTGCAGCTCCTGGGAATGTGGTGCTGGTTGTGGCTGCCCCCCTGCTGGCTGGGCCCCGGTGGGTGGGGCTTACTCTGGTTGCACTGGGTACAGGGCTTGCAGGCCTCGTAGTTGACTGCCTCATTGTAGGAGTCCGGGTCGCAGGGGAGGCACACGGTATCCCTGGGTCCCTCACAGCGGCTCACCATCCCACTACCTGCAGCAGAGCTCAGCACATTGGCGGCTGACCCAGGCTGGCCCGTGGGCACTCACAGGCCACTTCTCTGGGCTGCACAGACCCGTGCCTTCCTTCGCAGGACAGGCCCCACTCAGGCCAGGTCCTCCAGAGCAGCACCCAGAGCAGCACCCAGTTGCTCCTCCCAGGACACCATGCCTGTGTCCCTGTCACCTCTCCTCTGGGTGTTCCCCACCTGGAGGCCACTCACCTGGCTGGCACTCTTGACAGCACCTTTGGCCATTGGGATAGGTGTTTCCGACACAGTTCAGTGCAGCCCTGACTTCAAGCATGAGCCCAAGGAGCAGAAGGGCAGCAGGCCCCCAAGCCGCCACGCACRTCCTCATGTCTGCGTTCACAGGAGTCTGGGGTTTTTCCTTGCAGGATGTGGCTATAAGGGCTGCGGGGGAGGGTGGGGAGGGGCGGGAAGAAAGTGTGTAAGCAGTGCGTGCCCCTTGGCGTGCACATGCGTGTGTCCCTGCATCCCTGCCGGCACTCGTCCTTGCTGATGGCCTGGACAACCCTGTCTTCCAGAGAGCTGATTACAGGCTGTGGGAGACCGACCTCACATGTGACTGAGTCACTCTCCCCGGCTGGGTGCTGAGGCGCTCAGTCGCAGAAATGTGGCAGAGCTTCCCCCACCCTTCTTGGGTGCAAGGGTCGCTGTCTCAGGCATGGGTGTGTCTTGCTACAGCCCCATGGGTGAAGCTACGCTCACCTGTTCCTTTGTAATATGACCCCTTGCCCTGGTTAGGATAGAATCTTCCAGGGAAGTGCCTTGTGTGTGTCCCCTCCTCTTACTGTGCCCTGGGGTGTGGCCTACCCAGGTGTCAGTCAACCTGCTGACAGTGGACATCATGAAGATAGACTCAGCCCCCTGAAACCTGACCCCTGGCCTCATTTGAATAGCTTCCCTCAATAAAAGGGGTCAGAGCATGCTCTCGCTCTCTCTTCCTGCGGACCCTTAAGGTCAGAGGAGCCGTCACAGCGACCCCAAAGAAAAAGGTATTTGTGTCTCTTGTGTGGTTACTTTGTGCAGCCCAGTTAGCCCAGTTTAACTGGAGTGACCCCTGAGCCTTTTAGTGGCGAGATCAGAAACCCACTCACAGGCCACTCACAGGACAGGGCCACCCAGAGAGGCAGGAACTCCTGGGGCATTCATTCCTGAGAGCAGCCTAGTGTCCATGACCCAGGGCAGAGTGTGCATGCAGCCACCTGGGCGTGTGAAGGGAAGAGCACACACCGGTGCACACCCATATACACATGGGTGCAACAGGGACATATACATGTGCATATGTCATTTGTGATAAAGAGGAATCGAACCCAGAGGCACTTTACCACTGACTACATCCCCAGTCCTTTTAGTTTCAAGACAGTCTCACTAAATTGCAAGGTTGGCCTTGAACTTGCAATCTTTCTGCCCCAGTTTCCCAAGTAGCTGGGATTATAGGTTGGGCACTGTGCTTGCAGTACCAGGGATTGGACCAAGAACCTCGTGCATGCTAAGTGCTCTACCACTGAGCTACTTCCCCAATCCTTTATTTATTTATTTTGGAGACAGGGTCTTCCTAAGTTGCCCAGACTGGCCTTGAATGTAGGAACTTGAACCCCACTGCCTCAGCCTCCAGAGTCACTGGGATTACAGGCAAGGTCCCCACACCCAGCACACACTTTCTTTTCTTAGATTTGGACACCCTCTGATACCAGTCTTGCCTTGAAGAAAATGGGTGGGGTAAGGACGGGGAGGGCTCTCTCTGTCTCTTCTGTACCTATTAAATGGTGCCATGACAGGATTATCTATTCCCGAGTTAATTTTAAAAGCTGCAAATGGAGTTCCCCACCCCTGCAGGAGGAGCAGAGGGGAGGGGCTGGAAATCCCCCACCCACAAGCCACACAGGTGAGAGTGGCCTGGCCCACCTGCAGGAAATTCCCAGCCTGGAGGCGGGGCCAAGTGGGCACCAGACAGCGGTTGGAAGGAAGTGGAAGGAGAGACCACCCCCCTCCCAGCCTCTAAGTGCAGTGGGGTCTCGGAGGAAGGAAGGTCCTCATCTTTGAACCCGTGGCCCATGAGCAGCGAGAGAGTGAGCTGGGGGTCTTGATGTGCACCTCTTCCACTCTGAAGCAGCCTTCCTCCTCTGCCTGCCCCTCTGGCAAGGCTGGTCTCTTCTGCCCGTAGCTGTGCATGACTGGCCAAGGGGCTGGCACCTGCCCACAGGTGACCTGAGGTGCACTGAAACCTGGATGCTGGCTGCCCACCCTCCAGCAGGTTCACTGGGAAGCAGCCTCCCCTGCTTGAAGCTGCCCTGCCTGTAGTGATGGTGGCACTGCCTGTGCAGGTCCCAGGGCCTTGGGTGGGAAGTCCCAGGTCTGCAGAGGCACTGTCAGGAACCGCCTCCACTCTGTCCACTGGACTAGGATCCCTGAGGTCTGCAGGGGTGACCACAGGTGTGAGCCTGTGTGTGAGCACAGCCTCATGCCCATGACCCAGGGCAGTGTGTGCATGCATCCCCCCTCCCTTGAGCATGGCAGTCACAGGGGCACCCAGAGCAGCTGGGTCACCAACGGCTGACCCGGGGCCTCAGGAAGAACAGGTGCGCACACCACAGCATCCAGCCTGCCGTCAGCTCACACCTTGGCTGCTGCGCTGCCCACGGGCCAGWTCTCAGATGCCGCCCCAGCCCAGGGCCAGGAGCTGAGGGGGTCCAGTAGCACTGGGTGGCAAGGACAGGCTACAGGCCAGCCCAACGTGGTCACACCCCAGCAGGGTGGGCATTGCCATTTGGGAGACGTGACAGAAGGCAGAGCCTGTGGGGACTTCCCTGCCGACACCACGGTCTGGTCTACAAACCAATCCAGGTGCCAGCGCACCCACAGCTGTCAGGGCCCCTATGCACAGAAGCAGGTCCTGGTGGAAGAAGGCCAGTCGCACAGGAACGCAGGTGGCACATCGGCCATCCTAAGGCACCCGTCCTGCTCTCCACACCCCCCACCGTGCTCTGCTGCTGACCCCCACACAAAACTGACTCATTGAAGCCACCCGCCAGCTCCATGGGCACAGTGCCCACTGGTCACAGCTGTCCCATTTCTGCAGGCTGCCCTCTTCCATCTTTAGTACAATCAACTGTTTAACAGAAGCTGGGAACCCCTCACGCGAGGGCTGGGGCTGGGGCTGAGTGGTCAAACACTTACCTGCTACTGGGCTCGAGTCTCAGCACCACATATAAATAAATGAATAAAGTGAAGGTCTATCAACGTCTTCAAAAAAAAAAAAAGATAGAAACAAAGAGAGACTCTAGTGGAACTGCCTGGCCTGAGACACTCCCAGCTGTCGTGCTCGGTTTTTCCACCAAAAGGAGGGAGCAGGAGAAAAAGCAACTTGTTTTAGATTAACGGTCCTTGTGACGAGGAATGCTGGCGTTTTCTCAGGCTGCATGCGGTCCCGGTCCCGTGTGGTCCGACAGGCCCCAGGCCCGCCCAGTGACCCACCCAGCCCTCGCCAGGAAGCAGGGCCTTCCCGACTGCCGACCACTGCCAGCAGAGCTGACTCTGTCCTTTCAGTTTTCCAGGAAACGGCAGGAGGTTCTCTATTTCCCACGGTGTGGGCAGCCCGCGAGGGGCCCAGTGCTGACGCGGTCAGCACCTTCAGCAGAACTCAGCAGTTCTCAGAAGAGACGGAGCCATGGAGGCCCAGAGGGCAGAGCCATGCTGGGCACGCTCAGCTCAGTCTGGCCTGGGGACTGGCCACCCGCTGGACCCGCACTGCACAGGGACACACAGGACAGTGAGCAAATCTTTAATGAACCTGGGCCACGCTGTGGTTGGGAACGGAGCCAGGGCTGTGCATGGCCCGCAGGAAGGAAGGTTCTGGGCAGCACACTGTGGCTGGTGGTGACCCCTGCAGGTGGGACGGCCCCCCCCCCCAGGGCCAGAAGCGAGCTGGGCCCAAGTCAGGGCCTCTCAGAACTCCTCGTGCACGTTGCGGGCGTAGTCCATGAGCTTGCTGCCCGTGAAGAACTCGCTGTACTTGAGCACCTCCTCGGGCTCCAGGTGGTGGTTCTGGTTCTCGTCCGCAATGGCGATCATCTGCTTGGCCTCGTTGAGGGCGTTGTACTCGTTCATGGGGTCCATGTAGTTCTGTGCAAGTACTGGCATCGTCAGCAGTCCACTCCCCACACCCTGAGTGGCCCAACCCAGCTGGTCCTCCCCCACACACCTGGACATGGACACTGTGACAAGCTCAAGAGTGGCCCATTCTGTCTCGGGGAGAGGCACAAGGCCTTATTGTGGTGACCACTCAAAGTGTGGCTCCTCGATTAAAATGCCCCCTGGCTGCAGGACAGGGATGTGGGCATGTTCTGGAATGTTCCAGAAGGGAGATGATGATGGATGGGAAGAACACCAGAAGCATCTGGGGGCCCTGAAACTCCTGCCTGGGGCCTGCAATGGGTCATACCAAACACACTGATGTGGCCACGAGGCAGGGAGGGCCCCGCCGGCCGTAGAACCCAGGGCCGATGAAGGGTGAACCGCAGCCAGCCCTGCTCCACCACCAGAGAGCCCCATGCCTCTCGCACAAGGGGAGACCACCAGGCAGCCACCATGCAGGACTCAGGGACAACACTCCCACCCACACAGCAGAGGGCAGGCCCTGCCCTGTGACCCCCCTCACCCGCATACCAGCCCACAGGCCCCTTCAGAACTGGGTCCAATGTGTGCTTCCTTCTGGGCCTTGAGAAAGGGTCCAGGAGCCCCTGACACAGGGCAGGTGTGCAAAGCGACAGAGCCCTCGTCCACGAGGCCAGGGCCCATCCCAGCACCACCAACAAACAGGAAGCGACTGTGACCATATACTGCAGTGACAGCTACTTAACACTAAAAAAAAAACCAGGACAAGACAGAATCCCAACACCTCCCCAGGACCGAGCCGAGCCGCCAAGTCAGGAGCGGGCCCATGGTCTTCCTGGAGTTTCTGTCTGACGTGTCTGGGCAGAAAGGCCAACGCCCACCCTGGGTGGGCCCTCCTGGAAAGTGCCAGGTACAACCAAGGACACGCCACAGCCAGCCTGACCCAGGTCCACGGCCACCACAGTGGCCATCCTCTCCCCAGTCACTGCTGTGGGCTGGCAGGGTACACCCCTGTCCCCAGGGCTGTCCTCGGACACACCCTGTTCCCTGTGTCCTCACTCACCTCCAGCTCCTCCATGGTCACAATCCCATCGTGATCGGAGTCGATCAGCTCCTCAAACTCTCTCTTCCTGTCTTTCACCCAGCTGTCGTCAATGTCCTGGCCCTGCTGGTTTTCCACGGTGCCCACAGGCAGCGAGATGAACTCAGGCAGAGAGAGCT